TAGATCCATTTTTCTTTGTACCTCCTTTTTAAGAGTAATTATATATTCTGAAACTTATTTAACAGACAACAATAAGAGGATTCTAATATCTCAAAGGAAGGAGGAAGACAAGCTAGACAGTGTACGACTTTACAAATAATGATGTGGTGAGTTCCCTGGGTTTTATTTTTACTTCTCATATACCCAGGTAGTAGAGAAGCTTGACACAAGAATAACCAATAGAGAAGAAAATAAGAAAAAAAATAAAAAAGGAGAAACACATTCAATCCTAGCAGAAGTCCTGAGAAAACAGAAATTCAACACACCTAGTGTGCAGATCCAAGCATTTCTCCCCGCCCCCTCCCCACAAAAAGGGTCTCCTTTTGGTCCTGTTCATTAACAGTAATGGCAGTAGTAAATTCTTACTCATACCAGCTATCCATTCCTTATCCTGAACCAGAGCTTAAAGAGTGATCCCCTCTGAACAAAACCATAGCAGTAGCAAAGCCCCGTGTCTCCCTGACTTTAACCTAGGGAAAGGAGAGACTTAAGTCCAATGGCTTCTTCCTTACCCTAAAAGAATGCCCTGAGGTCCCTTAGTTGGAACCAGTTGGCATTACACAGGAGCTCCAGCAGCACTGTAAAACAAAGCAGACAAAATTAGCATTGCAAGGGTTCAGAAACTAAACTCTGAGAATTAAATCTCATGTAAGTATATTAAAATTTATACATTAAACTTAAAAGAGTGACTATCTACTAAAAAAGAAGACTTAGAGATAGAATCTCCTAACAAAATTGCCAAAATGTCTGGGATACATGAAAAAAATGACTCGTTATACCAAGAACCAGGAAAACCTCAGGAAGTCCTATAATTAGATAGATATTTTAATTGTCTCTTAGAAAAACACGAACTAAGGAAAGATGCTTAATCTCACGAGAAAACCAGGATAATGCAATTAAAATAATGCTATAACTTGAAAGAATTTTAATTAGTGGAGGATTTTTGAAGTCAATTTATTTGATTTAAAATTTTAATATGGAAAGTAAGTATCTTTATATCTCTTAATAAAAATTCACATCTATATATTTTAAATTGCAAGATCTGGGTGCAGGTGGTGTTTGCCTTTAGTCTTAGCACTGAGGGGGCTGAGGCAGGAGGATCACTTGAACCATAACTTTAAGATGAATGTGAGCAATAGGAGACTGTTTGAGAAAATAATAATAGTACTAAAATGTGAAAAATAAACTAAGCAAAGAACTACCATAAAACCTCTTTAAATATCACCGTTTTTACAATAGTACTGTACATCTTGACGATGAAACAATGAAAGCAAATACTGTAATCACCATGTTTTAAAAAAATTACTCACTGGGAAAACTAAAATAACTGTCCAAATCATACTGGTTTCAAACATAGGTATTTAGAGATAAAAGGGTTAATAAATAACTTATTTTTAATGCACATTATATAATAGAAATACAAACTCACCTGAGGATTTAGGACTTTCTTTTTTTCATAATCATCTTTAAACATTTCAAAGGGTGATTTCTATAGTAATACTGCAGTATTATACACCAGAGGGATATAAATAATATGGGGCAAAATCAGCATATCACATCCTCATTCTTTTTCTTTCTGAGTCAATCATTTTATGTATGTATGAAATGCTTGCTGTCTCTGGGTACATATTGATGACTATTGAATGGGAAATCCAAATCAACTTATTGCTTACCTTGAACCATGAAGAGTAACATATTACTCTTCTTGAAAAGGGAAGATCTGTACTGGTAAGGCGAAATTATATTCCTTGAGAATTACACTGAAGCCATGGGAACAACCTAAACATGATTACAAGTAGAAGATACATAAAAATAAGTTTAAGACTTAAAAATAATCCCTATGGTGTCTAAGCTTTCATCATAGTGTTTTGGTTCATTACTGTCAGAAAACAAAGAGTAAGAAACTGGAGGTTTTGGCTGTGATTAGAAAAGATTCAATAGGCTTTCATGGGCATTTTCTCCTAGTGAGACATCCTTTCTCATGAGGGCTTTGCAATTTAGTTCAGATGGTCCGTTTCCAAATTGCATGGATGCTGAGCATTGTTAGAGGGATGACAGACTAAATAGGGAATTGAACAGTGTGTAAGTCAGAATCTATCCATCTGGAACTAGCAAGCCAAGGCAAGAATTGCCTTATGATCTGCAATTTAGATGCTAAACATGAAGATTCTTCCTGAAATGAAATACAATATCTGGATCTGAAAATTCCAGCAAAGCACAGCTGTAGCTAACATCCTACTAACACCGACTCTCTGCATCATAGTACATGCAAGAGCGGTTATGGCTTTCTGTGCTAAATGTTAAGCATCTGGAATGGTATTTCTTAATTGTTCTTTTAGTAAAGCCCCAAATTAGAGTCATAAGTCTACTGCAAGTTGACACTGAAAAATGAATGATCAGAAACTATAAAAGGTATAGATTATAAAACATACTAAACATTAATGTAATTGGAAGAGATAAGCTTATTGGAATTAGTCTGATGCATGTTTTATACATTAAGCATTTCCTTAATTCTTATATAACAGATTATTCCCAAATCGCTTCTGAAGTTATTCATATTCTGGCTTTTATTTAAATATGACTCAAAAGGGGCTCTTGAAAACATAAATTAAAATGTCTAACATTCACTTTGTGTCAAGCATAGGTTGAAAATTTTTCAATATTATTTTTTATGGTTTTCCTCAAGAAATATTGTCACATAATTACTATTCTTACTTAATAAATTATAAGATTAAATTCTTGATAAAAAAATCACAAAGGGACCAGGTAGTTAAACTAAGACTAAATTTAAATCTTATTCCAAAATCATGATATTTACATTTCCATGAACTGTGCTGTAAGAAATTTGACTAGACGCATCCTTAGGGGCAACTCCTTTTCTCTGATGAAATATGCTTTTCATAGCTAAGATTGGGTTTTCATCACCTTAAATGCATTCCCCAAACCTCTCGTCTTCCATATAAAACATACATAGAAAATATAATTGTAGATGTAAAATTCTAAAAATGTTGGTGACTGGGGTGACTGAAAAGTATTTAAAAAAAATGTTTACACTGAGATATGCCCTCTCTCAACTACTCTAATGTGTGAACTTTTCAATAAAGTATTTAAGATTTTATAAACAAAATATAAGACATTTTTGGGTAAAACACTACTATTGCATGTAGGTAGGACAGTAACAAAATGTAACAATAATAATAAGCCACTTCAAATCAATTTTAAAAACATATATTGAGTACCAGGTCAAGAGCAAGTTGTTCATTATTCAAGAAAAAACAGGCCTTGAACAAAGGCTGAGTTTTATTATTAAAAACAACCACCACCACCACCTCAGATTTCACTCTAGTTGGAACATTCAGTAATGCAGCCTTTGGTGTCAGACATATTTGTTTTAGATTTAGCTTTGCAACTTACTAGCTTTTGCTCCATTTTATTTTCCAATGTGTTAAAATCACATTACTGTTATTTTTATTTGTACAGTCCATTATCTATTTTTTATTTGTCCCAATTAGTTCATACATGACAGTAGAATACATTTTTGTGGGGGGAGGTACCAGGGATTGAAATCAGAAGCACTCAACCACTGAGCCACATCCCCAGCCCTATTTTGTGTTTTAGAGACAGGATCTCCCTGAGTTGCCTAGCACCTCGCTTTTGTTGAGGCTGGCTTTGATCCTCCTGTCTCAGCCTCCCCAGCTGCTATGATTACAGTCATTCACCCAACTGATTCTACTTTTTGACCCTTGTGAATAATGCTACCATGGATATTTATGTACAAGCTTTTGTGTGCATGTGTTTTCATTTGTTTTGAATACGTATCTAGCAGTGCAATTATGACTCCTATGGTAATTCTACATGTAACACTTGGAGGATCTGCTAGATTGTTTTCCAAAGCAGATGTACCCATTTTTCATTCCCCCAATCTCCATGAAACTTCCTCTATCTCTGAATCGTTATCATCACTTGTTACTTTTAAGTATAGCTCTACTTATCTTTTTGAACATATAGTATATAGCTATAATAATCACTTTATTGTCTTTGTTGATTCTACTATTTCAATAGTGATCAACAACTAACTTTGCTCCTCAATGTGAGCTTTCTTTTAAGTAAGCTTAGTAATTTTTAATTGAATGCCATAGCACATTGTATTTATTGGTTGGTGGAGCTTTTTGTTTATTTATGAGTATTTAATGGGTTTTGCTTTTTAAGTTAAGAGGCACTAAGGCAATGATCACTCCAGGCTTAATTATTGCCACTACTAGAGTAAGACTCCTCTGTGTATTCTATCCAATGCCCCAAACACTGTGTGGTTTTCCAGCCCGATTACTTAAAACAACTACTATTTCTGACCTTGTGTAAGCTCCAGTATCTTAAAACAAAACAAAACAAAACAAAACAAAAAAAACTTTCAGTAAGTTTCCTTAGACATTCTGCTCAACACTCAGTTGAATATTCAAGAAAACTGCAGAATTCAATTTCTCTCTCTGAGCAGTTCCATCTTCCGTACTCTGAAGGCAACACTACCTTCCGGAATTTCAGCTTTATCTTGTCAACAGATGATACTCTAGGCTCGGCTTGCACTGCATCTTTCAAAAGGCTTTGAAAGCAGTAAGCTCTCTGAGTCTATATCACTTGCTCCCTGATCAAAAGTCTTCCGCGTCTTGGAATACAGCCCCATTGTTTTCTTTCTACTGAAATCGTACATTTTTAAAATAAAGTGTGAATTTTATTTTCCCTGAAACCGAAAGTGAAGACAAGGCTTTTCGGCTTTCCTGCTAAAATAAGAAAAGCCCCACAGGCAAAACAAACTCACGCGCACTCTGCCCTCCACCGCCCACGACCTCTTGCGCAGGCGCATAAACCCTGCGCGCTCTCCGCGGCCTGGCCACAACTGCGCCTGCGTCAACCGTGCGGCGCGAATTCGCACCAGCCAATTAGAGCGCGCTGTGTTCTTAATTTCCGCCCACTGGTTTAGCCTTCAATCGCCTGCTCCGGCGCGCAGTCCGCGGTGAATCCAAAACGGAACATAACTGGGCGTAGCGTGGTGCGGCGCGGCCCGGTCATGGAGGCGGTAGAGACGCAGGCGGAAGCTGCAGTTTTAGAGTAAGTATTCGCTAGCATTTGGCCTCTGGGAGCCGGGTGGAGGAGAACCTGCAGGCCCCCATCTACAATGTTTGGTTATTTGGATTCCGAACAGCTGTCGGAGTTCGACTCCTCTACGAATTGGTCCTGATCTCAGTTTCCAGTCTCAGTTTCCTGAAGTGCCTCTTGCAGGCTCCAGGAGTGCGGTTTCTGAGGGACTAAAACCATCATCACCCTGCCTCGCCCTCTCACCAGAGATGTGCCTTAGAAGGAGGACAGTTCCTTACCCGTCCTCCACATCCCTTCACTCCTATTAGCCATTCTAACTGAATTTCCACTCTCTTGAGACAGCCTAAACAGTCTACTCTCCCTAAATAACCTTTTTGCTATGGGATATTTTTCCCGTCTCTGCTCCCTGGTGGCCTCCTTCAGTCCCTAGCCAGGAAAAACCTGAGACCCAAGACCAAGATGCCCTGCCCTGTGTCTTTAGTCCTTCCTCGGGTATTCTCATACCCTGTCCTAAGACTAGTGCTCCCTGCTAGGAGGGCTTCCAAGGGCCATCAGAGCTCTGCCCATATTCTTAACTTTGCCTGCCTTTCTCCCTGGCTGCTGTCACATCTTGACTCAATTTCTTTTTCCTTTTTTTAAAATATTTATTTTTTAGCTTTAGGTGGACACAAGCGCCCTGCGCATGACAGGTGGGCGCGCTACCGCTTGAGCCTCATCCCCAGGTCTTGACTCAGTTTTTTAGTGAGACTTTTCATTAAAATTTCAGCCCTCTTCCCATATTCCTTTATCCCCTTTGCTCTGTAGATTTGCTTCACGCACTTAATTACCACCCTATGTTCCACACACACACACACACCCCAGGAGTGGTCTTAGGCTATAGATTCTTCAGGCCTTTGTGTAGATGTTGGTCAGGGTGAGACTCAGCATTGATAGATCCTCTACCTATTTATGTGAACTGTAGAGCTGGCAGCCCAGAAAACTGCAAACACTCATTTCCTTGCTTCCTTGCCTTCAGGGTCCTGGCTGAAGTGGCAGACATTGGGGAACCTGTAGGCTTACAGGAAGAGATGGAGCTGCCAGCTCGGATCCTGGCTGAGTTTTTGAGCGTATGTACACTGATGGGAGCCAACTTTTCAGAAGGCAGGGTCTGATTCTAGAGCTTTCTCTTGAGATGCTGGGCAGCATTGATGAAGACTGAAGTGGAAGGCAGTTTTGTTGGCCTATGTTGCAAGTAGGTATGACTGTTCCCTGCCTCTACCCTTCTTCTGAACAGAATTCCCGAAAGAAAGACAAGCTGCTCTGCAGCCAACTTCAGGTAGTATACTTCCTACAGAATTTCCTGGCTCAGGAGGACATTGCCCAGGACCTGGGCCCCTTGGCTTCTGAAGACGTGAGCCGTGAGTAGTCAAGGGATTTGGGATTTGGGTAGGGGCTGGTCTGAGGGGCAAGGAGAGAGGAAGTGGATTAGGTCAGCTAACTGACTATAGAGAAGACTGAGGCCCACTATTTCAGGGAGGGAGGCTGCAGGCCAGCTTCACTCATACCTTCATTCTTGGTGGCTCATCTCAGGACAGAAGGCAACTGAAGCCAAAGAACAATGGAAAGAGCTGAAGGCTACCTATCAAGAGCATGTAGAGGCCATAAAAAGCACCCTGACCCAGGCCCTGCCCCAGATGGAGGAGGTCCAAAGGAAGCGTGTTCAGCTCCAGGAGGCCTTTGAGCAGCTCCAAGCCAAGGTGCTTGAGGGAGGGAAGGGAAGGAAGAGATGAAGAGGAAAAGAATGAGTAAACTAAACCTGATTGCTATCTCCAAAAACCCTATCTGAAAAAAGTATTTTCTTTGCATCTCTCTCGCTTATCTGCAGAAGCAAGCAGTAATGGAGAAATTCAAAGCCGCCCAGAAGCAGCGGAAACTACAACAGGTGAGTCCTTCCTTTTCTCTAGGTTCCTATTTCTAATTGGAAATGACTAGGTCTCTGTTTCCATCAGTGAACTAGTTCTAGGCTGGTGGGATTGGAGAGATGGCACCAAGACTTCCACATTGGATGAGCTTTGTCTACACCCTTATTCCCAATAGGAGAAACATCTGCAGAGTCTGGCAGAAGTCTCTGCAGGGCTGAAGGAACGTCAGAAGGGAATTCAGCAGAAGCTTGAGCAGCTACATCAGGAACTTGGAACCTTGAAAAAGCAGGCAGAATGGGAACAGGATAAACTGCAGAGGTGAGATGGGAACATTGGCTGAAAATCGATATAATCCAGCTGAGATTCTCTCCCCTTACACATACTTCCTTCCAGGCACCAGACCTTCCTTCAGCTCCTGTATACCCTGCAGGGTAAGCAGCTGGTCCCTGAGGCAGAGGCTGAGAGCAGAGCTACTACAGGAGCTACCCTTCCACATGTAACTGCTTAAGGGTAAGCCCCAGCAGTTGTCCCAACCCCTGGACAGAGGGTAAACACTGGGGACATCATGGGAGAGATTGGTATGTCCTCCAAAGTGAATGAGAATTGGAACAAATGGGAAGGCAGTAGAGGAGCTGGGAACTTGACATTACTCACTTTCCATACCATACTTCTCCAAGGCCAATAGCCCTCTATCTGCTGTAGACATGAACTTGCTCTGTCTGCCTGGCTGACAGCAGTCTGGGCAAGACCCTAGAACAGGTCAACAGCTCATCTCAGTCTTTGGTGTCCCTGAACTGCAGGTATGGAAGGAAGGTGAACCCCTGGTGTGCCTTTTACTGCATTTGAGCTCTGCTACCCATTGATGGGATTGGAAGTGGGAAGAAGGAAAGAGATGTTATGGTGAAGCTTGGTTCATCATCCCTATGCCAGACCCATCTGGTCTAACCCTCTCTCCATCTTCCCCAGCAGATTGGATTATGAATGCTTGAATACAGCCTGATTTCTGACTGTGACCTAGGTGGGTCAGCCTCTGAAGTCTGTCAATTAAAAGTCCTGGCTATCTCAGTTACCTGTTTGTTCATCTTCACAAGCTGGTAGAAAGAACTACAGATTTTCAAAGGCTAATAACATGATAGGTGTTGGGACAGGTGTGAAACAGATGGTGTAAATGGCCAGGGCCTTGAGTTTTTTGCCGAAATCCACATGAAGCAAATATGCTGAGCTTAATTCAAGGAGACTATTTACACAGGTGGATAAATGGAGGAAGATATTGTTTTTCATTAACCCAAATGTTTGTTGAGTTCCTGTGTTGTGCTAAGGACCCATGATGTGAACTGGAGGAGCTACAGTGATGAGCTCATTTAACCTTTAAGAATGGCCTAATGTTACATTCCTGATACCCCTTTGTGTGTTATCTAATACTTTCCTTGGTTACTCTTCAGATGCTTGTTCATTTTATTACGTTGAAAGATTGGTTTTTATAGTCCAGCATTGAATGTTATGTTTCATTAACTTGTGGTTTCTGGATCATTTCCTTGCTTGTAACTTTGGGTGGAGAATTCTACTTTTGTAAATTCTCATTTTTATCAGATAACAACTCTCAATATTTGTTTTCCCAAATAAACACTTAAAATTATAATTTCTTCCTCTAAGTTTTCACAATCATCCAATTCATGCCATTTTTAATTTTCTCTTTTTTTCTTCTTCCTGAATTTCTTTGAATAATAATTTTGAAGTTTTCTGCTATATCTTTGTGGGAAGATAATCTTCATAAATTCTAATTTGGCTAGAGAATGTTACCTGCATAATTAAATTTTAAAACAGAAGCCTCAATTTTTATTTTATTTTTTTAATGTCTGATATGAGAAAAGAATGTTTCTCTTAGAATTGTATGTAGTATTTTCTCTTTGTTAGATTATGTTTGTGTATGTGTGTGTTTGGTTATAATTTTCTATATACTTAGATTTTTGTGGTCTGAGTATTATCTTCTCTGAGAGGTATGTTCAAGTCTCCAGCTATGATAGTGGCTTTGTTTATTTCTTTTAGTAGTTAAGTTTGCTTATTGTGATTTACAGCTGCTTTGTTAAGGTACATAAATGTTGACATTTATATCTTTCTTCAGAACTGAACCTTTATTGTGCCAGAACTTTACCTTTATTGTGCCATTGCTCTCTAATCTTTAAGCCAGCGGTTTTAGACTTGAAATTAAATACTTTTAATATCAATATAACTTTGCTGATTCTCTTTTGGTTATTCTTTGTCTGTCATATCTTTTCCTACTTTTCAAGTAGAACATTTTTGTTTCAATCTTTCTTCATCCTTAAATTTACCATTTCATGCAGCATTTAAAAGACTATTTTATAAAAAAAAATAAGGTTCTATAATATTTGTCTTTTCGATTTTATATTTGTGTCATTTTTTCATGTGCTCTTATTTATATCTTGTTTTTTTTTTTGTATCCTATTGTTCTTACTCTTATTCTTCTTATTTAGAAGCTTTTCTCCACTAGTTTAGTTTTCATACTTAACAAAATCTTAAGTGTAAAGAATATTGATCTTCTTCACCGATAAATGGAGTCTAGAAGGCCATTACCATTGACGGATCATCCCATTATTAACTACTGTTTTTGCCTAGTGTATTACTTGTAGCCTGTTTTCACAAATTAGACTTGTTTTATTTAGTCACTGCTTAATTTATTCATTTATTTACCATTCTTGCCTATTTTATTTTTGCATTTTTGAACTTTTCATATGAAATAATATCACCTTGTGGAGATTTTCCTTTAGTGTTTGTAGCCTATACAACACTTTAGTTTTTAATATGAAAATATTTTCGCTTCTAGTGGTGGCACACTCCTGTAATCCCAGCATTGTGGGAGGCTGAAGAGGCATGACTGTTAAGTTCAAGACCAGTCTTGGCAACTTAATGGAATACTGTCTCAAACTAAAAAATGAAAAGGGTTGAGAGTGTAGCTCAGTGGTAGAATGTCCCTAAATTCAATTCCCAGTACCTAAAAATAAGTGATTTCACCCTAATTCTTGAAAATACTTTCATTATATAAAAAATGATTGGAGTCAGGCACTTTCACTTAACATGAAATATATGTTCCCATGTTGATCTGACTTTCATTTTTGCTGATGACAAATCAGCTATCAGTTTTAACATTCTGTGATATTTTGTTTTATCCATGGCTACTTAAACAACTCCTCTATTTTTGGTGCTTTACTGAAGTTGTACTAAGAGTATAGTATTGTGTTTATGAATAGTTTGGGGTGTGCTTTTTCTTTTTTCCCTTTTTGGCATTAACTGGACTTTCTAAGTCTGCAATTGTCAGTCTTTTAAGAAATAAAATGTATTTTCAGATTGGCTTTAAAATGTGCTCTTATCACCCTTTCATATTACTTTCCTCTAAGACCTCAATGAGATTTTCTTTATTTTTTCTTCATATTAACTGTCTTTTGTATTTATCATTATTCTTTTTCTCTAGGTTGCATTCTAGTTTCCTTAAATTCGTTATGTTAATTGCCTGTAGTTAATCTAGATTAATTGTTGAATCATTAACTTAAGTTTTAATTTCTTTTTTTGTTTTTTATTTCAAGAAGTTAGACCTGAGTCTCTTTTTGAGCAGGGGTGGGGGTTATATTTTTGGTTGTGGCTCAAGGATCATATTTCGAGCCAGCATTTTATTACCTTAGACCGAATATATGTAAACACTTTGTTCTACTTGGTGGAAGAGTTTATAATTTAGAATTTTGTGGGCCAATATCACATATTTTTTTGTATTTGTATGTTGTAGTCTTACAATGAACTGTTCATTGTTTTCTAAACTTTATAAGTATATATTGAACTCTCATATAAAACAGGAGGAATTTTGTTCACTTCTGTCCACTCATGGATACTATTTAGAAACATTTAGAAAAATTATAAAATATGTAGTTTTATTGTTCTTTATATCTGTATGTTTTCCCACTTTTTATTTCTGTTGAGGACTTTTGCCTTTTTTACTACTTCATTTAAAAAGCACAAAATGGCTTTAATACTGCTTTTAGTGTGTTCTTTTATTATTTTCCTATTGTCTTTTGTTTTCTTATGCTTTCTTTTTCAATATTTGTATAATTAAAAAATAATAGAAATAATATTTGATAAATGCCCCTTTCTTCTGATAAATACATTTTAGCATGCCCATTTTTATTTGAGTACCATGCTGAGAGTATCTCATATTTTAATACATGATCTGTACATTATTACTAAATAGATTGTAATTTTAGTGTTAACTCAAGGAAGTTTCTTACATTGCTTTTACTTTTCAAATGTCTTTAGAATACTGTTTAGTTTCTAAATGAATTTGAGAGAATTATTTATCATTTTTCATCCACCAATTTTTGTGATTTTTACTATTAATTTTTATATCATTTGTATCAAATGATGAAACCTATAACTCATTTATTATATATTTACTAGTTATATATATATATATATACACACACACACACCTATGTATGCATTTTGTATGTGCATATGTAATCGTAGTGCTTGAAGAGGAAAGATACACAAATATTTGTTGAAAATATAAATAGTTTTAAAAAAATGAAAAAGGAACATAACACATACATGAGGTTTTAAGTCTGACTTAAAGAATTTGTATGGGGCTGGGGATGTGGCTCAAGCAGTAACCACGCGCTTGCCTGGCATGCGCGGGGCACTGGGTTCAGTCCTCAGCACCACGTAAAAATAAAATAAAGATGTTGTGTCCACCAAAAACTAAAAAATAAGTATTAAAAAATTCTCTCTCTCTCTCTTTAAAAAAAAAAAAAAGAAAAAAAGAATTTGTACGACGTTTCACAGAAGTTACACCAGAAAAGGCATTTTACTTACACATTTCAACTTCTGTTCCATCCACCTTTTCCAAACTATTCCTTTTTTCTGACAGAGGTCTAAATATTAAAAATTCTCTTAACACATCATTTTCATACTGTCCTTGTCCATCCCACCAGTCAGGAGTATTAATTTCCAAAGGAACCGTACAAAAAAGATAAAACTTTTTCAAGGTACTATTTTCTAAGTTTTTTTTTTTTAATATTAAAAGGATAATACCCACTTGAATCAAATTGTGAAATATGATATATCAAGAACTATGTAATGTTTTGAACAGCCAACAATAAAAAATTAAAAAAAAAAAAAAGGATAATAAACATTTTTTAAAAATTCCAGGTGATGTCACATGTCAATAAACTGTTCTGTAGGCCTGCCTGGGCCTGGTGCAAGAAATGGAACAGTTTATTAAATATTCTTTATTTGTGTGATTTTTGTCAGGTAAATATTCTTGATATTCTGGATATTTCTGGCAAAGGTAATCCCTCTCCTTCTATCTTTACAACTTAAAAATTTATAAAATCAAGACACTTCTAATATTTTACCCTGTTTATAATCTAATAAAAAAGGCTGTTTTCTGCTTCTCTTTTTTACATTACTAAAATTTTGTGTTTTATGGAAATGGCAATCAGTGAATGTGTTGTCCGTCCCCTAAAAACAAATGCCTTTTTCCCCCTTTGTCATGAGTTCATATTTATGTGAAAATGGTCTGTGTATTTTATCATTTTCATGAGCATATTCTTCCAAAGAGGATTAAAACAAATATCTATGAAGTATATGGAATTATCAGTCATAATATCTGAGAAATTTCTGTTAAGTTTGAAAATTATTCACACATTAATTTTCTCCCATTTTAGAGTATTTCTGAGGTTGATACATCTTAATCCTATGTTATAGAATCGACACAACTTGTAAAATATTTGTCTCCATTTTGAACCTCTTTATGCCTTTTTTATGCAAAAAAATTAATACTGAGTGTGAAATTAAATAAATTCACTTTATTATTATTTGTAGTCCAGTCTTTAAATAACCCTTTGATACTTAGAATTATCAGGCACTGAGAAACTTAGTGTTTGGATTTGTAACCCATTAATTAATGTGCTTCACTGAAATACCTTGCTCTTGAAACCTTGAATGACCTGGTTCTAGAATTAACATATTTTATATTTGTGTTGAGGACTTTTTAAACTATTGTTTTTAAGCAGTATAAATTTTTCAGCTTATGTTGTTAAGTTAAACAAATCTTTTAACAAAGTTTTAAAAATAATCTTCAATGGCTGGTGCTGTGACTAAGCAGTAGAACACTTGCCTCACATGTGTGAGTCACTGGGTTCGATCCTCAGCACCACATTTAAAAAAAAAAAGCATTTAAAAAATAATAATAATCTTCAAGACACTCTACAGTATATAAACATTAGATTTTCAGATGCTTATTTAATATGCATTTCTAAATATTAAATTGCCAGGGGGACTTGAATTAGTTAAAAAATAGTTATGTTGGTGCTAGGGCTATAGCTCAGAGGTAAAGCACTTGCCTGGCATGTGTGATGCCCTGGGTTCCATTCCCAGCATCACAAAATGTTTTTGTTTTTTTTTAAAGTAATTATATTGAAATTCAGTATATTATAACTAATCATTAAACAATTTATGCTTTATGTATATGTTTGAGGGAAAATATACTTTCCATGTCTCCATATATGTAAGGCCTGGGTTGCCCTTCCCAGATAGTCAGAAATGAAGGACTAATTTGAAATATCTGTTTACTGAAATATGGCATTATTTCTGATTTGTTCATTTGGTTACTCAAATGAAGATAATCGTTTGCTGAGGTAAAATTTACTGTTTCTAGCTTGAAAACTCTGTTAGTATTGATTACAGTGCCTTTCTTCCAGTATATCATTTTCAACATGAGGAAAAAGGAGGAAAAGGAAAGAAATAGTAAATTCAGTATAGAAATTTCAGTATAGAAATTCAACCAAAAAATACGTAATACATGTACATGTTTGTGGTATGTATCTAGACACACACACACACACACAAAAAAAAAAAAAAAAAAAAACTGGTAGGGAGAATGGAAATAAGATGGGGAAAGAAAAAGGCTGAGTGGGGATTCCAAGAAAATAGAAGAAGGACCAGTGGAGTAGAGGAAGGGGATTGTTAGGAACATGGAGAAAAGTGGAATGAATCCAACCAAACTTTCCTATATACATGTATGAATATGCCACAATGAATGTCACCTTTATATATATATATATCTCAACGTGCACTATTGAAAATAGAAGGAACATCAGGAAAAGGAAGGAAAGAAGTACTATGGACTGAATTGGAGCATATTATATTCCATGGTTATTTACCTAGTGAACCCCTCCATATATTAGATATAACAATAATGACCTAATGAAAATAGTGACTGCTTGATATGTATTAATGACTTTTTATTTTATCATATATAGATCCTGTCATCAAACATTTGCTTTGTAAATCCTCAGTACAGGAACATACGTATCATTGCATCCACAAATGAGTGTATACTAGTTCCTTCATACTTGAAAATTGTTTACTAAACATTTGTTGGATAATACTAATGGAAGGCTTTCCCAAAAGCTGCCATTTGAATGTCATTTTAAATATATGCAATTATCCAGAGACAGAGTTCATCAAATATTTATTGAATGTCAGCTATATGCTAAACATAAGACCTAAGAATTATAAATAAATAAAAAGACAGTAGCCCTGCCCTTTCTAAGTGGAGAAATTAAGGAAAATAAAATGTGAAAGGCTATTTGTAAAAAAAATATTTTGCTATTTCTAAAGACTAAGAGAATTGTCAGCAGCAAAGATGATCATGTTTACTAGGCAAAAGAAGCATCCTGGGTGAAGTATAGGAAATGAGAGACTCCTGCAATCAAGAGTACAAGTAGCCAAAGCAGAGCTTGTTACAGAAGATACAAAAGTGCTGAGTTCACAAGGGCTTTTTACCTTTACCCTGATAGCTATTGAGAGTCAATGCCTTCACCCGGAAGCCATGGAAAACTATTGATGTTTTCTTTCTTTCTTTGGGGAAAAAAAAAAAAAAAAATCTCCAAGTGCACTTCAATACATTGAAATAAAACTACCAGGGAAATCATGCCATTTGTGAGCACATCCTGAGTTCTCAGCAGAAAGCATCTTTAGAAGGTAGTACAAATTCTTCCTTACTGTGTATTATTGGAACTTGCTATAAGTGACAACTAAAGAGCTGAAATCCATTTAAGCAATTATGTGTCTTATTAAAGCAATGGTGGTGTGGCACCAGGATGGAACTCTTGGAATGTTCCATAAAAATAGGTAAAATGCAATCATTGTAATTATGAACTACTGCATATTACACCCACAGAAATAAACACTAAAGGAATTCATTGGCATTCTTATCCCTAAATGGTGACAGTTACCAATCAAAACAAGAGCAAACTTACTGGAAAATAATGAATCATCTATCCTACAGTTTACCACTTTTTGTTAATAGTCACCAAGGGCTCATGACTTTCAGAGAACATTGGAAAGCATTTCTGCAATGAAAAATCATTATGCCTGAATAATATTTAACTTATCAGGGTTTTAGGAACAAACTATTGAAAACAAGAATGAAAAAATCACTTTTAATATAAAATGCTTATATTAATAAAAAATAGTGATATATTTTACATTAATTGGCAAAATGAGTGGTTTGTCAACAACACCCTATTACTATCATAATAACAATTATGTGCAACAATATTTATAGATGCCTGGAATTTAAAGGCAAGAGGAACTGTATATTAGGTACTTATATCATCCTTGGCACTAGCACTGGGCTCTTCTAAATTTAATAATAGTAAGTAGTAAAAAACTTAATTTGATTTATAAAAAGTTTGGTTGAAATCAAACAATTTTCTCTTTTGCCCCTTCCACTGTTATCACTCTTCTCACCTCAGGAGTTTATAGAAACTAACTAACTAAATTTAACTCTTAGTGTGATGGTGGTATGGTAGTGGTGATCTGAAAAATTGATAAAAAATGTTATAACAGAAAGTGATAGTAAATATTAAGATCATTCTAATAATCATTATATATTTATCTTTTGTGTAGGAGAAAAACTAAAGCCATAGAGATTCATATACCTGAAAGTGTAAGTTTTATATCTAATTAAATTACTTGGCCTTTTTCATTACATTTATATATCCCTGGAAGCTTAATTCTCAATAAGTAGGATGTCATTTAAGAGAAATACAGGCGATAAATAAGTTTTCCATGAAATAGTTTTTTCGTTTAAAAGTGTGAGACTAGTTTTTAAATTTAACTTATTGAACTGTTTGATGTTTTTTGGTTTTATCTAGCTACGTATCTAGGTGTCAAATATACGTGTGCATTTACACATATATTGTATGGTGAAGTTAGGCATCTACTCTTAATTTGTTTTGCTTTATATCTTAAGGAGTCATTTATTTCAATCATGAAGACACCTGGAAGCTACAGGAATCTCATCTAACTTTGTTGCAGTACTGATTGCTATCAACAGTTTGCTATATTTTTACCTGCATTTCCTGTTTGTTTATAAAAAGGCTAAGTGACAGCCTCATTCATTTTAAAATTTTGTTATCAGGAACAGTATTTGTATTTAATGCTGTCTTAGAATTAAAGAAATGTTTGCTTATTGGATATGTGTCTTAGTTTAATAATAAGAGTATTATAAGTTTGCAAGGAGAACATGTACTTGCTTTCTTCAGGCACATTGAAGTCTCTATAATATTTCCTATATAGTTAGTTTATGAATTTATATATGTGATTCATAATATATAGATGATCAGAAAATTAAACATTTGATTTTTTTCTCTAGGCATCACTGTCTTCACAGAAATAATATATTCTTCATTTGAAATTTCTTTAACCCTTTGAGCCATTTTATGTTACATATTTATCCCTCTTGGATTGGCCAAATACCTCACTGATTTTATCTTTCTTGTGCTATTTAATAGGAAGCTCTTGATATTTCTCATATGATGTTGGGCACTGGTTACTTTAATGATTGTTTTGTTAAACAACCCATACCTTGGAGAATAAAGTGAAAGCTGAACTTGCTAATTTTTTCTAATTATTTAACCTATATTATCCTAAATATAGCAGACATGAGAATAATCCTTTGGAGGTTATCAGAGACTCTTTGAGCATCATATTTCCTTTCATGAAATGGCCCTTCAAATATGCACTTGGCATTCATGGACTAGTCCAATGAAGATCTGAGAGAAGCAAGTTAACCACTTGTGGTATAATCAAACAATTCATGTGTCCTTTGATCACAAACATCTTTGAATACCTATGGCAGGGTTTTGTAATTTAAGTTTAGATGAAAGGTTGCAGTATCATATTGTGCCAAATTCTGATTGGCTTTGATCCCATTCATCTAAATTGTTCCATATTAAAAGGCCATTCTCATCTCCCATTCCCATAGCAGACATCACTACTCAATCCTGTCCATCTTTTCTAAGGATATTAAGTGAAAGACTGCTTCATCTCACTGCACTACCCCATTCAGCCACTACTATATGTTACATATTTTTCATATAAAAAAATCTTTGTTAAACCTATTGAAATAGTTTAGAATCAACAAATTATATGGAAATTTGAGGGAGTGGCTTTAAATTCATATAAGATAGAGTAGATTCAGAAAATAGAAACAAAGGTATTGAAATAAACCTTGGTAGAGACTATGTTTCTTCAGGGAATTATTAAAGTATATTCTAAAAAAGTTAAACTGAGAAAAATCCCTAATTTAAGAGAGAATGTCAGTGTTCCCAGCAACAGTAAATAGTGATGTGAGTGAAAACAAGGATATACTGTATGTGGTTGTGTAGCTGGGAGAGAATTGTGGATTGACTGTAAGGCACTTAGTTGGAAAGTTATGGCAAATGATTCCCTAAGAAGTTTGGAGAAAGCAGTAAAAGCAAATACTTTTTGAAAATTAAGCTTTTACCTGTTTATCTTAATATTG